CTCTTCTCCTGCTCCTGGCTTTTTTTAGTGCCGGGATATTTATTTCCCTTAGAGGAAGGACTAGGGTGGAGTTTCAGCCCAGTGGGTCAGTGTCAGAGGCTCCCTGGGGACCTGGCATTTTGGACAGAGACAGGACAGAGCAGTCTGTCTTCCTGCAGCTCTTCAACGGCCCCCCCAAAGCCAGGAACATTCTTTCTGCCTGGACTATCTCCGTGTATCTGGCACTGTGGGGCCCTTTGTATAGTGTCATCATTAATCCTGCAAGGACTGAGGGAGCTAGGGAAAACTGTCCCCATCCAACAGATGACCAAACTGAGGCCAGAGAACTGACATAATCTTCTAGGCTCCTGAGCTATTCATGGAAGAGTGGCAATTCAAAGCTGTCTTTTTGGCCTTAATGAACCTGTGCCGGCCCCTGATCTGCCTGCAGCCCCTGCCCCTGCCCGCTCGAGGGCCAGCTGCCGTTGTCCAAGGAAGACAATGTGGACTAGCCAGGCCTCTCCAGGCCTTTTCATCCCATTCAAAGGCCAGCCCGGCCCCCAACCCCTATGGCCTCAATTCTTTAATTCTTTTCAGAAATTCCCCTTTCCCAGTGGTCAGGGGCCAGCAGGCTCCTGCTGGGCTAGCAAAAGTAGGTGACATGGGCAGGCCTGGAGGATGGAGGAGTCCCAGGCATTCAGAGACCAGAAGAGCAGTTGTCTGAGACAGGGACAGGCATGTGTCAGCATGTCACAACCACCACCTACCGCGGGCTAACCATGCCTGGCTTGGTGGGGGCACCTGGCCTGTCTCTGTTGCCCCCAGATTTCCAGCTGCCACTGGACACACAATGTGTATGGTCCCTGTTTCACAGAGGAGGAAGCCAAGGCCCAGCAGGGATGTGAGCTCTCGGGGTCCCAGATGTTAAGATGACAGTGCTGATGAACTTGGAATTCTCAGTGTCCAGCTCAGGATGACGGTTGAGGGAGCTTAAGGCCCAGCGTCCCCTCCAGCCAGGCCAGCGCAGGGCCCTCCAGACTGAGCTCTGCACCCCTAGGTTTTCCTGGATTTGGAACAGGACAGCAGTGGTCTAGACAGGTATCTGGTTGTTGCTGAGGACTATCACCCCATCTGTTCCCAGGAGGCTGTCACAGCGGCCTGAGTGTCATAGTAACCCTGCAGGCAGTGCTCTCGCTCCTGTTTTTCAGACAGGGAGACGGAAGACTAAAGAGGCCCTCCCCGGGGAAAGAGGGAGCTTGTCACCTCGGGGGACTAGGAAAATGGATAGGTCATGGTTAGGAGTTAGGGATTTTATTCCTGGCTCTGTCACCCACTCCTGCATGACAAAGCATGGATCACTGCATGGTCTGGGTCTCAGTTTCCCCTTCTGTTCCTCATGCCCCAGCCTTGGGGTGTGTTCTGAGAGTGAGCAATCCCTTGTGGGGGCAGCGGGGGCCTCTCATAAAGTGGTTCCTGCTGTCACCAACGTTAGGTAGAGACGAGACCTGGTGCTGGAGGAGTCATGGTCCTTGGCTGCCAGGGCCGTGCCTTGTGGCCCTGTCCCAGCATTACTGGAGACAGCCTGAGGGTATCACACCCCATCTGCCCTCCTTCCACCCCCAGCCAGGCGGCCCCAGCACCCCTTGGCAGCCAAGGGACCAAAGGCAGAAAAGAAGCTTTGTGCCTGAGGAGGGGGAGGCTGAGAAGGCATCCAAGGGGCCGCCCCTGGTCCCAGGAATTTGGTGAGATTTTGAGACCCCCCCAGACCAGGGTGCCCAGGAGCTATGCAGAACTGCCTTAGTTCAAAGATGCCTCTGCAGCCCCCCATCCTTGATGGGGCTTCTTCCTGCCCCTCTGGGGCCCCTCCTAGCCAAATCCCCGTTTCATTGAACTACTTCTGTCAGCACTGTGGGCCTAGAGTTCAAGTTGTCACTGTCATCGTCACCAGTGTCCTGGCCCACAACTCTAACCCCTGCAGTCCTGGGTCCTTTGGCCAAATCCTAGTATCAGGGAGAGTCAAGAGCATCGGATGGCATCGGCCATCGACCCCAGCTCCTCTCTGGGGGCTCAGAACCCAGCCCTGTGGCCGCATGGGTAACCGGGCAGGTGCCTTCTCTATGTGAAAGGCAGAGCCCAACAATCTCGCCCACAGTCAAGGAGAGAACCTTGTGAAAAAGGTACTGTGCTCATGTCCTTGAGCCCCGGGGAAGCCCCTGGACCACAGCTGCTGGGCACGGGCCCAGGTCTGCCTGGGGCAGCGCAGTCCAGGAACAAGAATGAACAATAGCGGCGGGCGCTGAGCTCGGGGCTGAGCGTGAACCCTCCCCTGCCGAGGGCCAGGCTGCTGTCCCCATTTGCAGATGGACAGAGCAAGGTCAGAGAGGGTCAGGACCTCGTCCAAGGTCACCAACTGAAGAAGCAGCAGAGCCAGGACTGGAACTTGGCCCCCAGTGTGGGGTTCTGGCTCTCGTCACCCCACCCCACCCCCGCTGTCTCCGTCCTTTCCTCTCTTTTCATAACGGCCCTTGGCCCCGGGCCCGCTTGGCTGCCTCCTGAAATTAGCCCCTATCACTGTTCCGGATCACAGTCCTGGGCCCGGTGGAGACAAAGTCCCTGGGGCCCCTCGTGGCAGGGAGTGGAGGGCGGGTGTGTGGGGGACCCTCGAGGGGGTGGCCAGTGCCAGGCTGAGCTGGTCTGGCCTGTTTTCTCCCTTCCCAGCGGCCTCTAGGGGCCCAGGAGGTGCTGAGTGGGCAGAAGTGGCAGGCCCAGGGGGGACCTGCTCTCCCCCCCAGCCCCTGCCCTGGCCCTACCTCACCGCCCAGCCCTGACAGCTTATGGCTGATCACAACCCTAGGAAAGGAAGCCCTTGGGGTCAGCAGGGACGGAAGCAAGGTGTCCAGGTATCATGCCCGTTTCTGGAATCCTCAGGACGGGGTCATTCAGTCGTTCAGCTGCTGTCCTGAGCACCTTGCACTGTTCCACGTCCTCACCTGGTCCCAGGCTATGCCCTCCTTCCAGCCAGAGAGGGAAAGCTAAGGGCTGCTTTGAGTGGCCAGGGGGGCCTTTGGAGACACACAGTCCAGCCTGGGCCTCTGGGCTGAGTTCTGAAGGATGAATAGGAGTTTGCAGGCAGAGGGATCCCCATTTGCAAAGACCAGAGGTACCAGCTGGGTGTGGTGACATACACCTGTCATCCCAGCAGCTTGGGAGGCTGAGGCAGGAGGATCGCGAGTTCAAAGCCAGCCTCAGCAAAAGTGAGGCTCTAAGCAACTTGGTGAGACTCTGTCTCTAAATAAAATACCAAATAGGGCTGGGGATGGGGCTCTGTGGTTGGGTGCCCCTGAGTTCAATCCCTGGTACCAAAAAAAAAAAAAAGATCAGAGGTGCTAGAAGGGGTGACAGGAGTGTGAAAGATGAAGGGTGGACAGGGGGGCTTGGAAGGCAATGGGGAGCCATGGTGGACTTCAGATGCCATGGCGATCAGCAGCAGCATTAGGTGTATGTTTTACAAAAAGCTTCCTGCGGCTTCCTGGAAAGTGGACCCTACGGCAGGACCCCATGGGGAGCTTGGGCTAGTGCTGGGGCCGCTGGGGATGGGAGTGGTAATTGGTGGCCCCCAGTTGGAGGGGGCGACCGGCTGACCTTGAACCCCACCTGGCTTCAGTGTTCCCTCCTGCAATAAAAGGTTCCCCAGCCAGCCACCACCTTCCTGTCACCTAAGCAGGGGATTCAAGCAAAGTCCAGCTTGTGGAAAAGAAACCAGGGAGGCAGGCCGGGACCTTCATATGGGAGCTTTTCGTTAAGGAAGAAGAAAAGAATCGTTTCTCTAGGTCCCCTTGGATAAAAGGGCAGCCTGGGCAGTTGTGGGCAGTCAAGCCCCACCCTCCCTCGCCTGGTCCAGGGACTGGGAACCGGGGGATGTGCGCATGCGTGGGTGGGCTCATGGCTCTGCGCGGACATGTGGACGTGGGCCACAGAGAGCATCAGTGTTTGGAGGGGCCTTTTCCAGTCTGTGTGTGAGTGAGGGGTGGGCACGTGGGCGTGTACTCCGGTGAAGGCACGCGGTCCTGTGGGGGTGTGTGGCACACGCACCTGGCCTGGAGTTTCACCCGTGCCCAGAGCCCCCTCCTGTATCTGGAGCTCCCAGCTTCCTCTGCCCAGGTTGCTCCCTCCCTCCCTGCCTGTCCCCTTCGCCCCTGCAGCCCTGGGCCAGCCTGGGGTGGTCACACAGGCCCCAGGGATCTTCCGCGCCTTCTGAACATGTACACCAGGTATTCTGCACTTGGGGAGGAGGATCCGCGATTCTCACCAATTTCCCAGACTTTCTTATGTCCCCACCCTCCAAACAGAACCCCCTAGGCTCAAAACCACTGCCGTGGGGACAGGTCAGGTCTCACTGTGATGCCCAGCCGGTCCCCAACACCTGGGCTCCTGCGGCCCTTCTGTCTCAGCCTCCGAAGAAGGAGCTGGGACTACAGGTGTGTGTCCCCGGGCCTGGCTGGGGAGTACTACAGAATGGGAACCTGGCCGTGCACCTTGGTGGCTCCCCGACTCTCCAGCTCTTGGGACTTGCCGCCCGCCCACCCTGTCGTGGCTCCTCCCATCAGGCCTTTGTGGGGGGACATCGGATTCTCCATCTGCCACCCTCTCCCTTCAAAGCCCAGCTGTGGGGTCAGCTCCGTCTTTTTCCACTCCCACCCGAGCAGCCCTGATGTCACCCACCCTGGAGGCCACCGCCTTTTGGACCCCCGTCGGGCTGAATTCAGCTGGTGATTCATGCCTGTCCCTCTCTTCTGGTATGAGAGGAGGGTCCCCCACTTCAGTTTTCCTCAGGTCCCCTCTGTGTGACAGCCAGGAGGTACAATCAGTGTTCTAAGCCTGGAGGACTGACTTCTCAGCATGCTAAAGTGCTAAAAGCACATCGCGCTGCACACAGTAAGCTCTTACTGTATGCTGAGAGTACTTACACTGCCTCCAGGGATGAGCCAGAAAGGCACCCCCCCCATCTTAGAGGGGAAACGAAAGCTCTGGGAGGGGAAACACCGGCCCCCATCCCAGCTGGTGCCAGAGGAGCCAGTTCTGAACCCAGCAATGCAGACGGCCCCGGCTGGCCTCGTCTCCGTCCCAGGCCTCGGCTCCCCTGTCCCCCCCGCATCTCTGTGAGCCACGATCCATGGCGCTGTGGAGTCCTCAGCCTGGGAACCTGCTGACCCTGGATTCAAGGCCACGAAGGGCAGCCTGGTGGAGTGGGGGGACCCGCGCTGGGAAAGGTCACCTGAAACCCTCCCTCCTCCTCAGCCCCTGCAGAAAAACACAGGGCCTGTGACCCAGTGCAGGGCTGAGGGCTGCTGAGCACCTGGAATGTCCCAGCCACCACAGAGGCATCCACACCACTGCCGTCCAGCCCTCCCCCCGTCAGCTCCACAGTCCATGAAAGAAAAAGCCCTTAGCCAGGACCAGGACTTGGTCACGTTAGTTTGTGGGACCCTCCTCTCTCCAGGCCACACTAGAATCAGTTCAGAAGAAACAGGCGTCCTGGGGGCGGGAAAGTCGGCAGAAGGGACAGTTCAGTTTGCCTTTTGCAACGGCAGGAGCTTGACAGGGCCCTTGGCCAGGTCCCATGGCCCAGGTGACAGGTGCTTAGAGTCTGTCGCATCATTGGGAAAGGCACAAAACTGGAAACAGGCTATAAATAGCAACCAGCCCACCAGACGCACAAAACCATACCCTGTGACAGAGCCCCAGGCCTCTGCATGCTGACCTGAGAACCAGCATCTTGTCAGGGGGAAGCAGGAACAAGCATAGGCCCCCAAAATTTAAGTCATTCAGCAACTGAACTTCCGTTAAAGTAAGAGGGCAGCCGGGCACAGTGGCACATGCCTGTCATCCTCGTGACTCGGGAGGCTGAGGCAGGAGGATCGCAAATTAGAGTCCAACAACTCAGCAAGACCTTGTCTCAAAAAATGAAAAGGGCCGGGGGACGTAGCTCAGTGGTAAAGCCCCCTGCATTCGGTCCCCAGTACCAAAATAAATAAATGAAGGAGGAAAAAGAGAGAGAGCCACACAGATATTTGTTTTTACAGGCACATGTATAAATACATATATGGATAAAGTTAGGGGGAAAATCACACTCTCCTATCAAGTTTGCTTCCTCTGGGGGCAAGGAGAGCTGTCTGTCCGTCCACCTCCTACACTGAGAGCAGCCTCCGTTGACTGTGGTCAGTGGGTGCCAGGAGCCGCACCCCAGGCTGTCCCCTTGTTATTTTAGGTTCTTGTCCCCTGAGTGCCATTCACAGATGGGAAGACTTGGGGTCTGGGGCGTCCGGAGCCCAGTCCACGGCTGGAACTCAGGTCCATCTGACCCCGGAGCGCACCCTCCTCACCCCAGGCAGGAAATGTTCCTCCTAGTGAGTAGGTGAGGGTCTCACAGGTTTCAAAGCATGTCTCCAAAGGCTTCCGCCCCAAGTGGGAGACAGGAAGTGGCAGAGAGTGGCCGAGGTTGGGGGGAGAGACTGAGGAGGGAGAGCTGACGCTGTGCTGTCCCCTGGCTCCCCCAGGCTCCTGAGCACCCCCAGCAGAGCCACCCCTGGGGATCCACCCTGGGCCTCTCCCAGTCACAGACTCCCCAGGGTCCCAGGGGACTGAGCTTGGGGTTCTCTCTGCCTGGAGTCGGGGCCCCTGGAGAGGGCACAGATCTCTCTGTCTGTCCTCCTGGAGTCCTGGGCAGGGTGCTCCCTGCACTGCAGCTTCCTCCCTGTGGGTCTTTTTCAGGAACTGGTGCTCATACGTGGTGACAAGAACCATCTCGTGCCATGTGCAAAATGGCACCTACCTTCAGCGAGTGCTACAGAACTGCCCCTGGCCCATGAGCTGCCCGGGGAGCAGGTGAGACAGGACATGTGGAAGAGTGGATGGCTTTCCCGGAGGGCCAAGGCCTGGTGGGGGAGCAAAGGTGGCCTAGCACCAGGAGGAAACCCTGGAGGGCTTCCTGGGGAGGATCGCCATGCACCTGCCTTCCCGCCCGCAGGGGCCTCCGTCCTGTTGCCCAGACCCCCTTATCTGTGGGGCTTAGTGGAAGGGCTCAATCCTGGGCGCAGGGGAGAGACTCCAAAGGGGCCTGGAGGTGGCAGAGGGTCTGGAGGATCTGGCTTTGTCCCTGTGGGTCTCAGGGCAGTGGGGATGGCAATGGGGGGACCCCTGTGAACCAGGCCTCCTGGACACTCTTTCAGCTACAGAACGGTCGTGAGGCCCACCTACAAGGTGATGTACAAGACAGTGACTGCCCGCGAGTGGAGATGCTGCCCTGGGCATTCAGGAGTGAGCTGCGAGGAAGGTAGGACTGCCTGCCTGCTGCTTGGGGCCCTATGACAGTGGCCAAGCAGGTCCCCTGGGTGCATGGGAGCATTAAACAGTTGCTAAGTCAGATAGCGCCCACGCACGACACCATGCCCAGAAGAGCCTGCTGCACAGAGCTCTGGATGGGGTACTGCCCAGACATATTTGGGGCCTGCTGAACCCCTCACAGTAACTACTTGCCGCTTGGAAGATGCTCAAAGTCCCCGGAAAAATTTCATGACATGTCGTGTCACTCACATCTTAAGTCACGTCATCCCAAGTGTTCCTCTCAAACTTGGTGTATGAGTCAGCTTTCCCGAACTATAAGAAAGCATCTGAGATGACCCACTTACACAGTAAAAAGGTTTTTATTGCCTCACATCCAGTCCATGATCAGTTGGTCTGTGTGGCTTTGGGCCTCTGGTGAGGCAGCCCATCATGACAGGTGCATGCCTTGAGGCCAGAAAACAAACAGATAGAAGCAAGGAGGGGTCAGGATCACTTTGTCCCTTTCAAGGGCACACACCAGCAACCTATAGACCTCACACCAGGCTCCACCTCTCCAGGGTCCACCACTTGCCTTTAACACCTGGGCCTTTGGAGGACACGCCAGATCCAGATGCTAGTACTGGGGGAAGCCCATCCAGATATTTCCCAGGACATGGGAACGAGCTTCACCTGGAAGCAGAAGGTCACTCTAGTCAGTGGGTCAGAGGGGGAGGGATGCCGATCCCGCCCTGCAGAGAAGAGACAGGCTCGGGAGGTGCTTGTCACTCAGTCCCTATGTGTCAGGGTTGGGATTCAGACCCTGCGCACCTGCCGCACTCCCTCAGAGACTCGGATGGCCCCTGGGTGCGAGAGCGTGTCCCGTGCAGAGGAGCCCCTCCCCCCCACCCTGTCTGAGTGCAGGTTGGTAGCTTGGGGCCAGCTCTGTCCTGGAAAATGACCACACACACTGCCCCCTGGGGAGCTCTTGCGGCCTGGCTGACCCCACAAGCAGCAGATGTGGGAGCACCAAGAGCTGAGTTCCCAAGCGCAGCCCGAAATGGAATGGACTGGCCTTGGGCCAACCCAAGGACCCGGCCCATAGGCACCTCGAGGGAAGGTGCATCCAGGGCCCCGGCAGCACAGGAATGTGGCCATCAGTTGTATGATGTGTCCCAATTCAAGAAGCAGAGACATGTGGACTATGGTCCCTGAGTCAAGGAAGCGTGGTGCCCATGTGCCGTTGCTCATCTGTGCTGCTACGAGGGTTGCCCAGTTCACCAATGGGGTGACTGAGGCCCAGAGAGGCAGAGTTGAGAGCCCAGAGTTGCACAGGAATGAGGCAGGGACAGAACTCTCCAAGAAGCGGGCCAGGGCCAGGGCCTGAGTGGCGATGCAGGCCTGTAATCCCAGCAGCTCAGGAGGCTGCAGCAGGAGAATTCCAAGTTCAAGGCCAGCCTCAGCAACTTAGGGAGGCCCTGTCTCAAAATAAAAAAGGGCTGGAGATGTAACAGTGCTCGAGTGTCCCTGGGTTCAGTCCTCGGTACTAGAGGATGGGGAGAAGAGAAGGGAGGCGGTTTGGTGGTTTTGGGGTGACGGGAGTCCCCAGGGAGTTGGGGAAGAACAGGGTGGCCAGAGGAAGAGGGAGCCCCAGTCGTGTGCTAGCGTGGGAGGCCAGGGGCAGGCTTCTGGAATGACACGTGTGTTTCCCCTCCTTTGTGGCCCATCCTAGTGGGAGAAAGAGGGGAAGGCAGAAGGCCCAAGGGACAAAAGACCAGCCAGGGGTGGCAGCTGCCCAGAAGGCCACAGGGGAGCTGTGGGCGAACTCCCCAGGTGTGGAGAGGAGGCCCCGCCGGAGGGCCTGTGCCAGGCAGAATCCGCCCCAGACAAAGGCCACTTTGTCCCTGGCTCCTTTCCCAAGGGCAGACCTTCCCAGTCTCCGGGGCCTTCCTGGAAGGCAGAGGGCAGGTGGGGGCAAAGTCAGTGCCCTTGACTCCAGCTGCTGGATACCATGTGTCCAGGGGCCAGGGCTGCCCTGGGGCCAGGCCACCCCTGATGGCTACCATTGCTTCTGCAGGGCCTCAGGCCCAAGCCAAGGGACAGGATCATCCAGGGTTTCTCGGGCCAGGCCAGCTCTGCCACACGCCAGCTGAGTGGCCTTGGGCGGGGGACTCCCCACTCATTTTGGTGCAGTTGTGCAAGAGCGCCGGCTGGGACGTTCCTCCCGTGCCCACTCAGAGGGAGGGGTGCCTTCCTGGAAGGTCCCCAGGCCACAGTGTGCACTAGCAGAAGCCTGGGGTCCCCCACCCGAGTCTTGGCACCCTCACCGGAGGTGTCTGCTTCCCAGGGAGTTGCTGGGATGGAATGAGGCAGTGAAGATGCCCCGCCCCGGGAGGTGCACGGTGATTGACAGGATGGGCGGGGCTTCTGCTCGATGGTTGACATGATGGGCGGGGACATGATGGGCGGGGCCTTTCCCCACCCACAGGTTGGAGCTAAGGAAAGGGAAGCCGGCCAGGGGGTGCTTAGGCCTGAATATTCTAGAAAACTAGTCTCATGAAGCCCTGGGTGGTGGAAGCATGAGGTCGTTGCTGGCCCATCCCAGGCTCTGCTGCACCTGGATCCAAGCTGGACTCCCCCAGCTCCTTTCCTGCTGGTGGCTGCCCTTGTGGCCTTCTTATTGCTGTGACCTGACCCTGGAACCACAGATCTGCGTCACCAGGGGCTACAGGGTCCAGGGACACCTGGGATGGGCTTCATTCCAGAAGCCAGCCCTGTATCTGCATTGTGTTGCATGGTGCTGTGTGACCTAAGGCATCTCACTTACCTCTCTGAACCTTGGCTTCATCTGTAAGTCACCTGGAATTGAGAAGTGGGCAGTCATGCCTGGCATCCAGTAGGTGACCCATAAATGTCCTCCTTTCTCCTTCTGACCCCAGTGCTGGGGATTCTATGGTGACCTGGCAGACGGCCCTGCCTCCCATGGAGGCTCAGCAGACATGCCTCATGTCTCCAGACTTGGCTGTGAGGCTGGCGGGTTCCAGGAAGCACTCCCCCCACCCACTTAGCCCCGATTCTTATCTGCAGGACGGGAGGGGCACTCTGACAGTGAGTGATGGTGTCTCCTTTGAGGGTCATGATGTCCCATGAGGATGGGGCAGGCCCCCTATTACAGGTAGGGAACCTGAGACTCAAAGAAGTGAAGGAACTGACCTGGGGTCACTTAGCACGCAAGAGCAGGATGGAGACCGCTGACCATTCATTCCTCCAGGCCTCAGGAGGGGGGCATGGGACTGGGAGGGACCTGGCGAGACTCGACTCACGTGAATGCCTATTCATGGAAACAATGGAAGAGAAAGGGCCAAGGCCAGAGTATACCATAAAGCTGGGCGGGGCAGACACAGGCCTGTCTTGAAGGCAGAGCCCAACTATCACCTTCCCTGGACCTGGGCCCAGGACTCTGCTGAGGGTGGGGCTGCTGCAACCTCTCCCTTGTCACCCTGCCTCTGGGCACTCTCTTGCCTAGCAGCCCCATCTTCCAGATGATTAAAATGAGACTCAGAGAGGGTGCTGGCCTCACGTAAGGTCACACAGCAAGTGAGCATTGTGGCCAGATTTCTCCCCAGGACTCTGATGGACTCCTACAATTACTAATGACAAAGGCTGGTGACAGGCACTTGAGTGCTTACTCACCTCCATTGTGCCATCCTGTCATGGCACAGAAGGCCCAGGTGTAAAAGGTGTGAAAGTGAGGCTCTGAGAAGGGAAGGCTGTGCCCAGGGCAGCAGCTGTGAGCCCAGGAGCTGGGTTCAAGGCCAGCCAGCAGGGCTCCAGTTGGGCTCTTTCCCTGAGGACACCCCGGGGGTATGTTCAGACAACCTGGGGTGCTGTGACACTGACCGAATCCAGTCTCCGCCCAGCATCTCCCAGATAGAAGGTTGGGGAGGCTGGGGGCTCACCCTGCCCTCCCATGGGACCCTGGAGCTGAGCTGCTCTGCTTCCCCGTCCCGTGGTCCGCAGCCTACGTGCCCCATGTCCCTCACGGCCTCCATCTCGGGGAACCAGAGGAGGGACATTTGCCTAAGATTGCACGGTCTCAAGCCTCAGAGCAAAAGTGAGGGAGGTCCCCATTCTCCTTCTGGGGACCCTTTGGCCTCTGGGGCTGGGGACCTCCCAGCCAGGGGCAGGGGCAGAGCCAGGCTGTGTTTTCTCTGCAGACTCAGAACCCTGAGGGCTAACCACTTCATGCACCCCCATTCCTATCTGGAAGGCTCGGCCTCCCCGCCTCCCCAACGGCCCATCCTGCCCATCAATCAGTCGGGGCGACTGCTCTTGGCTTCCCCATCACAACCCAGCTCCACCCCCCCTCCATCTGACCCTCTGCCCACGCTGGTCTAACCCCACTCAGCTGTGGACGTGGCATAAAATGAGTATCCACAGACAGGTGCCGTGGCGCATGCCTGTCATCCCCACAGCTCAGGAGGCTGAGGCAGGAGGACCAAAAGTTCAAGGCCAGCCTAAGTAGCATAGCGAGACTGAGGCCCTGTCTGTAAACAAAATACAGTCAAGGGCTGGGGCTGGGGCTGGGTGGTTAAGGGCCCTTCAGTCCCCGGTACCAGAACATAGCAAAGTGAGCACCCGCAGACTGGACGGAAACTTCACCCTCCCCCAAGACGGAGCCAGGCCTTCCCAGAGGCCCCCTGGTCTGGCCGGAGGGTTCCTGGACCTCCTGCTCCCGCTCTGACCCTGACTCCTCTTTTCGGCCACCAGCTGGCAGGGAGCAAATATTTACATTTGCAAAGTAAATTCCCACAGACCTGGGGGCGCTGGAGCGCTGCACCCCACTGACCTATGGCCACTGAACTGTGCAGACCTGGGGGTGGGGGTCAGAGGAGAATGAGGGAGCCCCTCCCCTGAATCCTCTCCTGGGGGGAAAGTCACAGGGGCAAAGTCTAGGGACCCCCAGGTTCTCACACGCCCGTCCTCGTCCTGCTGCGTGGACAGGGCCAGCAGCCTGCCCCGGGACCTCACTGTTCTCACCTGTATCACAGGGTGTCATGAGGATCCCATGAGAAGGGACATAGACTTGGCACTGGGTAGAAGGACGAGGGGTTGTCTGGGGACCTCAGTGCCCCAACTAGGGGACAAGATTAGAAACTGCAGAGGGCACAGGCCTTGTGGGGGTCAAGGCAGGGAGTACCTGCACTTCAGTGGGCGCTTTGGTACTGGTGAGTGCCCTGGAGCGTCCAGGAGGGCTTCCTGGAGGAGGTGACACGGGAGCCACCGCTGTAGGAATTGGGGAAGGGCACAGTGTACCCGGGAGTGTAGGGGATGGCAGTTGGGACTCCCGAGTGGTGGGACGCGCTCTGGAGTGGAGCTCAGGTCTGTGGCTCTGGGACCAACCTTCAGGGTCCTCCTGGGATGGCAAGGAAGGACCTGAGAAGGACGGACCCCCAGGTCTGGATGAGGGGCTGTCTGCCCACCTAGGCCTGCCTCAGGGTCCCTGGCCAAACACCAAGGAGGGGTGTGGCCCTCTTGTCCCCAACCCACCGTCGCTTCCTTCCTGGAATTTCTGTGCCAAAGCGCCTTTGATCACCTGATGCATCTTCTAAAGTGCTTCCGTGTGTTTATCAGAACTGGGGGGGGGTCTTGGGGGTTAATTTTTAGAAATCCTGAATCCAGAATGAACATTTCCCGGGTTCGGTTTGCTTTTCTTTCCGGTCCTAGGCCCTCGGTGCAGTGTGTGCTGGATGAACTTGCTGGCACTGAGCTCGTCCCCAGCCCCGCACCTTCTTTTCTAATCGAAGTCACAGTTAGTTAGAGCCCCACCCCCCCCAGTCTGTGGGCCCTGATGGCGCCCACTGTTCGTTTTTCTGTTCGTTTTTCTAGTTCTCTCTGATTCCTGGAGAAATGTCCCAAAACAAAATTGGTTGGGAAAGGATTTCCAGCCACAAGTCTGCCGACGAATGATGGGGGGGACACTATCCCTGGACCTGAGGACGTTTATGCTCCTCTCCGAGGCAGCTGTGTCTGCTGGCCACATCGTGTGCCTCCTTTTCGTTGGCGTCCTTGAAATTATTTTTCAGCCCTTGCTCCGTGCACTAATCAACAGAAGTCTCACTGAGGCCCCGGAGGTCCTGCTGAGTGCCAGGCACCAGACCCAGGACAGACCAGGTCCCTGCCTTGGTGGGGATGGTGTTCTGGTCAGAGGGGCAGACGATTGGCCATCAGCTGGGAAACTGGTCCAGTCAATGACATATGGAAAGCGCTGGGGGGGGGGGACACCAGCAGGGAAGTGGAGAGGGCCAGAAGAGCCAAGGCCTCATTATAGAGAACACTCATGCTTGCTCAGGGCCAGGGGCGGACGGCAGCTGCTTTGGGTCAAGTTTCTGCACAGAGTAATAAGATAATATTTTGCATCTTTTTTTAAATATTGATCTTTTAGTCGTGTTTGGACACAATACCTTTATTTTACTTATTTATTTTTATGTGGTGCCCAGGATCGAACCCCCAGGGCCTCGAGCCCGTGCTAAGTGCGCGTTCTACCGCTGAGCCACAACCCCAGCCCCGTATTTTGCATCTTTACCTGGGAGCAGAAGGGGGGAAGCAGGCTTGGCAAGACTGTTTCTCTCAGGCATCAGAACTCTTGCTGGACACTGGGCCACCCTGCCTAGGAGTCAGGCCCTGGAGTCAGACCTACCTGGGTTCGGGTCCAGGCTGGAGAACTGCAGGGGAATGAGAGAGCCACTTCATTTCTCAGCCTTGGTTTCCTTCTAAGGGAAAAGAGAGGAAGAGTCTCTAGCCAGGTGTGGTGGCGCACGCCTGTCATCCCAGTGGCTGGGGAGGCTGAGGCAGGAGGATCGTGAGTTCAAAACCAGCCTCAGCAACTTATCGAGGCCCTAAGTAACTCAGTGAGACCCTGTCTCTAAATAAAATACAAAAAAAAAAAAAAAGGGTTGGAGATGGGGCTCAGTGGTCGAGTGCCCCTTCAATCGAAAAAGAAGAGCCTCAGTCACCCATTCATCTGTTGCACGTACAGCCTCTCCATCTGTGAAGACTATATGGCCCCAGCACGTTTGCAAAAAATGAAATAGCCAGATATATATACGGGAAGGGCTTAGAAGTACCAGAGCTGATTGGGAGTACGCACTCACCAAGATCGGGCTGGGGTATGAAGCACCTAGCACCAGGGCACTCCCCTGCCCAGAGGGCCCCCAGTCCCTGTCCCTGTCCTGGGCTGGTAGGACTGGGGAGATTTGCCCCTGCACCCAGGCAAGCTGTAGGCCCTTGGGGACCGTGTGCTGAGGGAAGCGGCTCAGCCTGAGTGAGGGCCTCATGGTGGGACCCAGAGCAAGGCTGGCAGCCTCCCCGCTGGGGGCTGGCCAGAGGGACCCGTCTGGTTCCAGTTCCCGGCGCCTCTTGCTCCTGCCTCAACCCACAGCCCAGGTCTCAGCTGCCAGGCCCGCGCCTTATTTGGGTCCTGTCCCCCCTGCACACCCCCCAACAACACTGCACAGCCTTAAAAGGCAGGCCCCTGGGCAGGGGGGCTCTCGCCACTGCTCCATAGAGAGCCCTCCAGCTGTGCCCTTCGCCCCTGGCTTGGCCAGCCCATCCCTCCAGCTGTGCTGAAAACCAAGCCCCCAGCGCCAGGCCAGCCGGCTGCCGCAGGGGAGGGCTCCTGGAACCAGAGCCAGCCGCCCTCTGGTTTTCATTTGAAGCCGGAGCTGGATCTCCTTCAGCCTCCTTCCTACGAGGGCCAGGGCCAGAGAGCGACCGTCACAGCCCAGTTTACTGAGTGTCTCTGTGTGTGAACAGTGAGCTCTTTACACCTATCGCCATCCTCAGGCCTCACACCAGACTGGGAGGGACAGAGGGCTTAGGGTCCCATTTTACAGATAGGAAAGTAGGCAGGTCCAGAGAGGATGTCACCCAGGTCAGTAAGCGGTGGGGCAGGAACCCAAGTTTTGATAACTCCAACTCCTTATCCCCCCCCCTTTTTTTTTTTGGTACCAAGGATTGAACCCAGGGGCCTGCAACCACTGAGCCACATCCCCAGCCCCCTTTATTTTCTATTTTGAGACAGGGCCTTGGAAAGCTGCTGAGGCTGGCTTTGAACTCTCGATCCTCCTGCCTCAGCCTCCTCAGCCGCTGGGATTCCTGCGTGTCACCGCGCCTGTCTCCATAACTTCTAACTTAACCCTTGTAGCCCCCTGAGGTTGCTGGGAAGCCCCGCCTCATCCTCACCCCACTGCCAGCTCCTCTCACTGCCCATCAAGTGGCCAGTCAGTTCCAGCTGGGCTGTGTCACCTGGGGAAGTAGCTCCACCTCCCTGGGCCTCTCTATCTCTCAGGGAGTAGGAATCTCTGCTGGGATACGGTGGTGGGCAGGGGCATGTGCCAAGGCAAGGATGGCACAGGCCAACGGGGTCCTCCCCCCCCTTCCTCAGTTGCAGGCACCTCCGGCTTCAGGGAGCCCACGTGGGCGGGCAGCACCGTGCGGCGGATGGCGCTTCAGCCCGCAGCCTTCGCAGGTGAGTTCTGGGGCGACCACGGGGGTGAGGCCGAGAGGGAAGCCAGGGCAGTGTGGCAATTGCCCTAAAAGCCAGCTGTCCCACAGTGGAGGGTCAAGGGCAGGCTAGAAAGAGCCTCAAGGGGAAGAGGAGGGAGCCCAGGCACCCTGAGACCGTGACCCCTGGGCTCCTGTGGATGCAGGTCCAGGCCCTCAGTCTCCTCTTCTTTTCTGACCATCTTCAGTGAGCAAGTCCCTGAGCCAGTGCTTTCTGTCACCAGCTCGTTTAAACCCCACAGCTGTGCACACCCACTCCCAAGAGCTTGTCTTCCCATTTTAAAGAGGGGGAAACAGACCAGAGAGGAGCCCTGCCCTGTCCTGCCCCACGTCTTGCAGCCACCAGGGGGCAGCACTGGGCAGGACCGCTGTGCTGTGCTTGTTGGGCGCTGGCTGCACCTCGCTGGGCTCCTCTGAAGGAGCCGAACTTGCAAATCTCCAGATGAGGCCACAGCTGTTGGGAGTGACTTAGGTGTCTTGCTAAGGGGTCTGGAGGAACTGGACTGGTCCTGTGAGAGAGTCAGAGGGTGGTGCCTCTGGGGTCAGCCCTGTCTAGACTGTGATGCTGGCGTCCCCAAAGCTGGCAGGTCCATGTCCCAGCCCCACCCAGCAAGAAACAACAGCATTTCCTGCCCTGGCTTCTGGGAAGAGGGTCATTTTGGACCAGACCTCCCACCCTGCCCTGGGAGAAACAGGTCCACTTTGGAGGCTCCAGAGTTGAAGGAATCCCTTGGGGATGGTCTAACCTATCCTGGGCCTGGGGAGAGTCTGTAACCCCTCCCCCCACCGGAATTCCTCCTAGGTTGGGGTCTGTCTCCTCCCTCCTTTGTCCCCGGGGCTCAGGGCTCTTAAAGAGGGAGAACCTGGGACCCCAGGACCCAGCCCCAGCCTCCTCCCTCTCACAGGTTGTCTCAACTGCAGCAGAGTGTCCGAGCTGACCGCGAGGCTGAAGGTGCTGGAGGCCAAGGTGGGTGAGCAGCTCCCTGCTGACCCCCAGCCCGAGGGCCCCTGGCCCTTCCTGTACCCCCATGTCCAGCCTGCAGTTCTGACCTTCCACAGGGCTCCCCGCAGACCAGGCAGCACTTTCCGGTCCCTGCCACAGGCGGCCGTTGGTTCCCCCCAGCTCCTCGCCTGTGCTGGGTGCTGTCCCCAGGAAGCCCTCTCTTCCTCCGGGAAGTCGTGAGGCCCCCCCCCCCAGGCTGCCCAGTGCCCATCAGATAAGCGCAGACACTGGGCCGGCTGCAGGATCCCCCCCTTGCCCCCAGCTCCTTTACCACCCCCACGATCCCATCCTCCAACTTCAAAAGCAAAACACTTACTACACCATTATTTTGAGATCAAAAGTCTTTAAAAATCTTAGAATAGGAAACAAAGATTCTAAAGAAAGACTCAGAAATGTGGGCCTTTTTTTTTTTTTAATGACTCAGCCTGGTTCTTATGCCCAGGTTGGTAACTCCTGGGCTTCAGCAAGCTCCCTGAGTGGTCAGGACTACAGTATATACTGTCACTTTTTAATCATTTTTCTTTCCAGTTTTTTTTTTCTGGGGGCGGTGGTGGAGAATTTAGCCCAGGGGCGATTCACCACTGAGCCATATCCCCAGCCCTTTTTATTTTTTCTTTTGAGTCAGGGTCTTGCTAAGTTGCTTAGGGCCTCACTAAGTTACTCAGACTGGCCTTGGACTTGTGATCCTCCTGACTCAGCCTCCCGAGTGGCTGGAGTTACAGGCTGTGCCACGGTGCCGGCTCCTTCCAGATTTCCTGGACATACATAGTAGACGTGTGTATACCTTGTATATTCTTTGCTCCGCTGTTCCCTCCTCTGGAACTTCATCTTGTGGAGATGATCAGATGTGAACATGTTTCCCTACAGTTGGGAAATTAGAAAACCAGGGGTCAGAAGGAGTAGCTGCCTGATTACAGTAGCTGCTATGAGGACAGCCCCACATAGTCCCGCAGTCAGTGGCTCAGGGTACCAGTGATGTTCCAGAGTTGTCTTCACCCTGGTCCCCAAAGTGGATTTGGTATTTTATGTCAAGACCCTTCCAAACTTCCCTGCAGATTTAGCAACACTCCTGATGGTAGAGACAGTGCTTAGAACACCCAAAGGCTGGGCTCAATCCCCAGCACCAAAAAAAAAAAAAAAGCAAAACTCTTCAAACCCCTGTGCAGTTTCAGCAGATATGACAAGCGTCGTATTATTTATGGAGATTAACATAGAAAAAACTGCTTGGTCAGCAAGCACCACAAGCACAGAGCCCCATTGGGTGGCAGTGACGATGGGTGACGACTTTCCCGCCGTGCATGTTGTGAATCGTCCATTTTAAACACAGATGCTGGTCATGAAGCTCTGGGCCCCTAGGAGCTGGGGTCTCCGCACCCCACAGGGCCCCTCCGCTGTGCCTGGAGAGTCCCTGGAGCCCCCCCATCCTATCTTCCCTCTCCACAGGTGGCTGTGCTGACTGTCCCAGGGCGGGCAGTGCCCTCAACGCCGGCTACCCCTGAGGACCCTTCTCCACTCTGGGGCTCCCCAGCTGCCCAGGGCAGCCCTGGAGATGGAGGCCTGCAGGGTGAGTGGATCAGGCAGGGAATGCACGCCTGCGTGGGAATCAGAGGGTGAGGTTCTGGTCGCACCCTTGCTGTGCCCTACGGGACCTGTGGTGGACCTTAGCCCACTAGACCCTGGGGGTGGTCTCAGGGGCTCCAAAGCTCTGCAGTCCTAGGAAGCTGAGAGCCCCCCCAGCACATCCTGCCTGGATGGAGATGGTGACGGGGACTCTGGATGACTCTCCTTCCCCCGCCACCCAGCAGGGCCACTGACCCCTGCCTTCCCCTCTCACACCAGGGCTACCTGGAACCAGAGAGAGCATGAGGGCCCTGCCGCTCCCTCAAGATGGTAGGTGCTGCCCGGGGCTCAGGGCCGCAGTGAGGGCCAAGAGCAAGTGGAGCTGCCAACCTAATGTTCTTTACTCCCCAGACCTAGGGGGTCCTCGGGGGCTGCCTGGGCCTACCGGCCCCAAAGGAGATGCTGGCAGCCAGGGCCCCACAGGGATGAGAGGCCCACCAGGTAAGCACCCACCATGCCACCAAAGTCCCCTGCATTCTAGACCATCCCTCGGGCTGGGTGGACCCAGGCTGGGCCTTCTTGCCTGGCTCTGACTCAGCCAGGGTGGCCTGGTCCCTTCTACCCATTGGCTGTCCACCCGCCAGCCCTCCAGGGACAGTGCGGCTCACGCCTGGCCCTCTGAAGGCCAGTCTTGGCTGCTCTGCTGATCTTTGGTACTTGCACTCACCAGGGTCTGAGATGGGCACTGGGTGAGGTTAGCCCAGTCCCTGCCCTCCGGGAGCCCCCAGACCCGTGGGAGAAGGGGCCAGACAGAGGAGAAATACTAGTCCCCACCCCGTGACCAGGGTCCCTCGGGAAACCTGGGGACCTGGGAGCCCTGATGAGGAAACCCAGGTCATTCTGGAGGGGATGCCAGTGCTGTGTCCATGCCCCTAACAGAGCCTGGGAGGGCAGACCTCGGGCTCCAAGCCCTGCTGTGCCAGCTGCCCGGGCTGCCAACCTGCCACTCTTGAGGCCACACCCCCTGCCTACTGTCCACCTACCAATCCCTGCCATCTCATTGCAGGTCCCCAGGGCCCCCCAGGGAGCCCTGGCCGGGCTGGACCTGTGGGAACCCCTGGAGAGAGGGGACCTCCAGGACCACCAGGGCCCCCTGGTCCCCCGGGACCCCCAGCCCCTGTTGGGCCATCCCAGGCCAGGATCTCCCAGCATGGTGAGTCCCCCCGGGTCTGGGCAGGTTGACGTGGGGGTGACGAGGCTGATGACTATTGCCGTGGTGCCCACCACTTACACCTTGCCTGTGCCAGGTGTCTGCAGGTCCCCAGTGGTCCCCATCTGGTCACAGAGGAGGGACACTGAGGGCCAGAGAAAGGAGGTCACCTGCTATGAACACACAGCTGGGACATGGGGGGAATGACTTCAGATCTAGGTGCAGGGCCACCAGGCAGCAGGCCCTTCCCGAGCCTTGGAGCTGGCCGGAGTCCAGCCCTCCAGAGCACCAGGAAGTCCAAGGCCAACAGCAGGAAGAGAGCTCTGAGACTCCGAGGGCCACGGTGCTGGCCCTGTGCTGGGAGAGGCCCCCGCTTCCCCACCAGGCTGGGTCCTGATGTGGATCCCTGGCCGCCTCCTCTGGAGCCCAGCCCGACCCACACCTGTGCTTCCAGGGTCAGAGCACGGAGAGCCAGGCCCATCCCCATCTCTGTCACGGTCCAGAGGTGTGGCTGGGCCCTCTTCATTCAGTCAGTCTCCCCGTCAGTCATCTGGTACTCACTCACTAGTCACTCTCCCTCTCAGCTTCCCTGTCTCCACGGGCGTGATGGACATTGTGGCAGCCTCCCAGAACTCTTAGGATACCCGAGCACGGAAGCCAGGGACATAGTAGGTTGTCAATAAACAGGATCTTTTAGGATGAGTCCCGTTTGACAAGTAACAGTCCGGGCTCAGCAAAGCCAAGAGTCTTTCTGGATGTTACCAGCTGGAATGCAGTAGGTCAGACCCAGGGCTCCCTGCCTCTGGTCCTTCGTGGCCCACACTCCTTACTTCCCACCCTGGGAGCAGGTGCCCATTGGCACGTCTGTGCTGCCGGTGCCCCGTTGGTCCATCAGAGCTGACTTGGCAGAGGTGGCAGGGTGACACAGCTCTGCTCATTCATCATCTCTCCTCTCTCAGGGGACCCATTACATTCCAACACCTTCACTGAGACTAGCAGCCACTGGCCCCAGGGACCCCCAGGTCCCCCTGGTCTTCCAGGGCCCATGGGTAAGTTGCGTCCAGGCCTGGCATACGGGATGGGATTGTAAATGGCAGTGGGACTGGGGCTGTGGCTACCAGGGGGCAGTTGATGGCATTGTACTCTGTTCTGTTCCTGAGGACATCCTGTCTGATTCCAGGTCCCCCTGGACCTCCTGGTCCCACAGGTATCCCCGGGAGTCCTGGACACATGGTGAGTCCTTCTCCGAGTGTCCCCACCCATGTTCCCACCCATCCATCCATCCATCCATCTGTTCGTCCTTCCTGTAATTCATTCTTTCAACAAGCACTTACCAAGCATGTGATGCACAAGCTACTTTTCATAAATTTTCTAATGCAATAAAAAGCAAGGATGGTTGTCACCTAAGGCAGAGAAAAGTGGAGATCCTTGTCCTAGGGCTGTGGCCAGCATATGGCAACATCTGCAGGTGGGGTGGGGACTGACGGACTCCGGGGCCAGATTTTTTAACACTGAGCTCTATGAACTGCCCATTCTTTTGGGTGTAGGGTGAGGCCCAGGCTGGGCTGGGGTTTCCCTCCCTGACCCCTCTGCTCCCAAGCCCCTGCTCATTCTCTCCTACCACCCCACAAACTGAGGCCCTGTCTTATTGCTCAGGGACCTCAAGGCCCCACTGGACCCAAAGGAGTCCCTGGCAATCCAGGAGAGAAGGGCGAGAGAGTGAGTACCCACATCGCCTCAGGGGGGGATTCTGGGGGTCCAAGGGCCCTAGGTCAGAGCCCCTGACAACTAACTTCAGTTTCTCTTCCTCCTCTACAGGGACTACGTGGGGAGCCTGGCCCCCAAGGCTTCACGGGGCAGCAGGTAAATGACAATATCTGCCCTATAAGCACCCCCCAGGATCCCATAGGCCGCACCCCTGCTCTGGGCCCAGCCCTTGCAGCTACGGCCTCTGACCTTCCTGTCTGGACCAGGCAGCTCCATTCTCTGGGTTGCTCCCCGACTCTGGGACCTGACATCCTTGTAAAATCAGGCTTCAGACTTCACTCTGGCTGTACAGGACTCTTTCTTGTTCTCTTTCCCTGCACATCTTTTTGACTCTTTTTGTACTTCCAGTCTGTCCAAACTCTGACTATACATTTGTCCTTTTCTCCCTTTAATTCAGTCAATTTCTGCTCTTTGTATTTTGAATCTTTGTTATTAGGCACCTACATGTTTTGGATTTCAGTGTTTCCTTGGCCTTTTTATCTTTATGGAAGTAATATCTTTATCTCTGATCATACTTCTTGTCTTGAATTCTACTTTGCTTACTATTAAGTAGCTACATCAGCGTTCTAATGCTTGGTGTTTACGTGGTGCATCTTTTTTGATCTAGCCTAGGAGCACTTGACCACTGAGCCAGATCCCCAGTCTTTTTCTTTTTTATTTAGAGACAGGGTCTCACGAATTGCTTAGGGCCTCGATAAGTTGCTGAATCTGACTTTGAACTCAAGATCCTCCTGCCTCAGCCTCCCGAGCCACTGGGATGACAGGTGTGCGCCACTGACTGCATCAGTGCAGTCTATGCCTTTGTATTTAAAGTGCTTCTCTTATAAACAGCATGTATCTTGAGTCTTGCTTTTTTCAAAAGTAGGACTTTTCATTCATTTCTATTTAATAATATGCATAATTATTGATAGGATTCTGTTTAAGTTTTTGTCCTATTTATCCCATTTGTTCTTTGTTTCTCTTCTCCTTTCTATTATTTCTTTCTTCTGGACTGAGTACGTTTAAAGATTTCATTTTACCTTCACTAAAATATTTTTATTAGTTATAGATGGACACCATACCTTGATTTTATTTGTTTTTTTTTTTGTGTGTGTGTGTGTGTGTCTGTAGTACCAAGGATTGAACCCAGTGCCTCACACGTTAGGCAAGTGCTCTGCGGTTGAGCTTCAGCCCAGCCCACTAATAACTTATTTTTTTTTTTTAGTTGTAGATGGACACAATATCTTTATTTATTTATTTGTTTACTTACTTACTTAATGTGGTGCTGAGGATCAAGCCCAGACTTCATGCATGGGAGGCAAGTGCTCTGCCACTGAGCCACAACCCAGCCCACTAATAACTTTTTAACAATGACTGTTTATGTGACTATTTTCACGATTGCTTTAAGAATAACAATATGTATCATTATATGTGCCCTTGTCATATCACAATTTACTTGAATTCATATCGTAGCACTTCATGTGTAAGTAGGCATGTTAAAGACAGATAATTCTGTTTTCACCTCCTGTTTTCCTTTGTGCTATTGATGCTCTATATTGTACTTCTACTTTTGTTATAAACCCTGATACGTTATTTTTTTTCTTGGCAATGCTGAGGATCAGACCCCAGACCTTGCACATGCTCGGCAAGTGCTCTATCACTGAATTGCACCTCGAGCCCAACATTAGTATATTGTTTTAAGTAGCCAGTTGAGAGCTGGGTGTGATGGCACACACCTGTATTCCCAGTCACTCAAGAGACTGAGGCAGGAGGACTGCAAGTTTGAGGCCAGTCTGGGTAACTTAGTGAGATCCTTTCTCAAAATAAAATAAGAAAGACTGGGAATCTAGCTCAGTGGTAGAGCACTTGCCTAGCATGTGCAAGGTCCTGGGTTCAGTCTCAAATACCCCCAAATAAATAAGTAAATAAATCATCAACTTTCAAAGAAGTTAAGAAGACAAGGTATAGTCCTAGCCTACTGGTAGTGGTGGTACATGTCTATAATCCTAGCGACTCAGGGAAGGATTGAAAGTTCAAGGCCAGCTTGGGTAACTTTCCAAGACCCTCAGTAACTTAGTTGGACCCTGTCTCTAAATGACAAATAGAAAGGACTGGGGATGCAGCTCAGTGGTAAAGCACCCCTGGTTCAATCCCCAGTACCAACCAAACACACACACACCTGGGGGTGTAACTCAGTAGTGAGAGTCCCTAGGTCTGATCCCCTATACAGGAAAAAAGAGAAAAAAAACCTATCAGCCTTCCATATCTATAGATTTCATGTCCCCAGATTCAAAGAATTATGGAGTAAAAATATTTTGGGGAAAATTGCATCTGTATTGAACATTTTTTCTTGACATTATTTCCTAACATTACAGTATAATGGCTATTTATATAGCATTGTCCTTGTATTATGTATTAGAGGTAATCTAGAGATGATTTAAATAATCTGTACACATAGGAGAATATATGTAGGATCTATGCAAATATTGTATTATTTTATGAGGCACTTGAGAATTTGTGCATTTGGGGATCCACAGGGAACCCAATCCCCAGTTACCAGGGGATTGGTTCCCCCATGAATAGTACATTTATATTTACTGATGCACTTACCATTTGTAGTACTCTGTACCTTACAGTGGATCCAAATTTCTATCTAGTATCTTTTTCCTCCAGCCTAAAGAAATTCCTTTAGCTTTTTTTTTTTAATATTTTTTAGTTGTAGATGGACATACCTTTATTTGTTTATTTTTATGTGGTGCTAAGGATCGAACCTAGTGCCTCACACGAGCTAGGCAAGAACTCTACCGATGACCACGACCCCAGCCACTTCCTTTAGCTTTTCTGGTATTGTTGGTCCTCTGATGACAATTTATCTAAAACTGTCTCTGGGGTTAGGAGTGTGCTTCAATGATAGAGTGCATGCCTAGTATGATTGAGGCTTGTGGTGTGTCCCACAGCACCACAAAAGTAAAAATACAAATAAAATAGTCTCTATGTTATCTTAATGTTTTGCAAGATATTTTAGCTGGGTATAAAATTATATGTTGGCAGTTTTTTTCCCACTTTAACATTTTAAAGATGTTGTTCCATGGTTCTGACTTATATAAGTTTCTCTTGAGAAATTGGCTGTCATTGTTACTCTAAACATAATGTGTCTTTTATATATAATGTGGCTTTTAAGATTTTTCTCTTTAGCCAGGCATGGTGGTGCACGCCTATAGTCCCAGAGGCTTGGGAGGCTGAGGCAGGAGGATCACGAGTTCAAAGCCAGCCTCAGCAATTTATCAAGGTGTTAAGCAACTCAGTGAGACCCTGTCTCTAAATAAAATACAAAATAGGGGGTTGGGGCTGTGGCTCAGTGGCAAAGCACTTGTCTAGCATGTGTGAGGCACTGGGTTCGATCCTCAGCACCACATAAAAATTAACAAACAGAATAAAGGCATTCTGTGCATCTACAACTACAAAAAAATTTGTTTTAAAATACAAAATAGGGCTGTGGATGTGGCTCAGTGTTTGAGTGTCCCTGAGTTTAATCCCTGGTACCAACCAATAAACAAACAAACAAAAAAACCAGAGGCAAGTTTTTATGTGGTCATAAATTTTGAGTTCATTTGATGTAAATACCAACGAGCATGATTGCTGGATCATATGTTAAAGGTGTGTTTAGGTTTTTCTTTCTTTCTTTTCTCTCTTTCTCCCTCCCACCCTCCCTCTTTTCCTTTTTTCAGAGAAAGGATCTTAGTTGTGTGCACTGACACATGCCTATAATCCCAGCAACTTGGGAGGCTGAAGCAGGAGAACCACAATTTTGAGGTCAGCTTGAGCAACTTAGCAAGATCCTATCTCAAAATAAAATTAAAGGGCTGGGGTTATGGCTCAGTGGTGGCGTGCTTGCCTTGCACATGTGAGGCAATGGGTTTGATCCTCAGCACCATTTAAAAATAAATAAATAAATAGAGATGTTATTCATCACTAAAATAATATTTTTTTAAAAAATTAAAAAAATAAAATTAAAAAGACTGGGATGTAGCTCAGTGGTAGAGCACCCCTGGGTTCAATCCTCAGTTCCATCAGAGAGAGGAGAGAGAGAGAGAGAGAGAGAGAGAGAGAGAGAGATACAAGGTCTTGCTGTGTTGCTTAGACTGACCTCAAACTCCTGGGCTTAAGAGATCCTCCTGCCTTAGCCTAATGCACAGCCAAGGCTTTAGGCACAAACAACTGCACCCAGCTTAAGAGGGGATAAATTTCTGAGGCTGGCTTTGAACGCGCGATCCTCCTGCCTCAGCCTCCCAAGCCTCTGGGATTTTAGGCATGCACCACCATGCCCGGCTAAAGAGAAAATCTTAAAAGCCACATTATATATATAAAAAGACACATTATGGATAGGGTAACAATGACAGCCAGTTTCTCAAGAGAAACTATATAATTTAGAACCATGGAACAACATCTTTAAAATGTTAAAGTGGCAAAAACTGCCAACATGTAATATTATACCCAGCTAAAATAGCTTGCAAAAAAAATTAAGATAACACAGAGACTATTTTATTTGTATTTTTACTTTAGTGGTGCTGTGGGACAAACCACAAGCCTTAAGCATACTAGGCATGCACTCTATTATTGAAGCACACTCCTATCCCCCAGATAGGATACTGTCAAGTTGTCTTCCAAAATGACTATACCATTTTGCATTCCCACCAGCAATGAATGAGAGTTGAGGTTGCTCCGTTCCCTTGCCAGGGTTTGGTGTTGGTCCTATTCTGTATTGTGGCTATTCCAGCACATGTGTATTGGCAAATTATTAGGGGGTTGTTTTTGTTTTATCTCATTGTTGTTTCAATTTCAGTTCCCTAATGATGTGTGATGTTGAACACCCTCTTATACCCTATTTGTTGTCTGTATATCTTGTTTGGTAAGGGTGTCTGTTTAAGTCTTTTGTCCATTTTTGATTGGATTTTTTTTCATATTGTTGAGTTTTAAGTTCTTAGTTCAGGATGTCTTTTGCAAATCTCTTCTCCTAGCTTTTGGCTGGTCTTCCCATTCTCTTAACAATGTTTTGTAGAGAGAAGTTGTTAGTTTAATCCATTTATCAATTATGTCTTTTCGTGGATCATGCCTTTGGTATCATGTCTAAACATTATGGCATATGAAAGATCATCTAGGTGTTCTTCCATGTTATCTTCTAGGAGTTTTGTAGTCCTGTATTGATAGTTAGGTCTGCGGCCAATTTTGAGTTTATTTTTGTGAGGGTGTAAGGTTTCATGTTTCTCAGCTGGGTTCTACTCCTGGGCTCAGGGGATCCTTCTGCCTCAGCCTCGAGAGCTGCGGGGTTCATTGTAATTATTTATTTGTTTTGCATGTGGGTGGCCAAGTGTTCTAGCACTAGTTCTGGAAAAGTCTGTCTTTGCTCCCTTGTTACCCTTGCTCCTTAGTTGAATATAGGTTCACTATATTTATGTGAATCTCTTTCTAGGGCATCTAGTCTGCCCCATTGATCTAGTTTTCTGTTCTTTGACCAGCAAATTGCTGTCTAGATTAGTGCAGCTTTATAAGAAGTCAGGCAGCATTAATCCTACAACTTTATTCTTCTCTCTTAATACTGAGTTCACACTGGTTGTGGTGGCACATGCCTATAATCCCAGCTCTTCAGGAGGCTGAGGAAGGAGGATCCCAAGTTTGAGGCCAGCCTCAACACTTACTAAGACCCTCAGCAATTTAGGAAGAGTCTATCTCAAAATGAAAAATAAAAAGGACTGGGTAAAATGGCCAGTACTCTGTACCCCCCCCAAAAAAAATACTGAGTTGGCTATTCTGGGTCCTTTGCTTCTCTGTAAAAGCTTTAAAATAAGTTCATTGATATTACAGATTACCTTGCTGGGATAGACACACATACTGAGGATTAATCCCAGGGGCACATTACCACTGAGCTACATCACCAGCCCTTTTATTTTGAGACATGGTCTCATTAATCTGCTCAGGGCCTCACTAAGTTGCTGAGGCTGGCTTTGAACTTTCAATCATCCTGCCTCAGCCTCGCAAGCCTCTGGGATTACAGGCGTGCCAACACACCTGACGCATTAATTGATTTTTTTTTAATCTTTATTTTTATGTGATGCTGAAAATCAAACCCAGGGCCTCACACATGTGAGGCAAGCACTATACCACTGAGCCACAAGCATTAATTGATTTTTGAATGCTGATCTAATCTTGCATAATGAGATAAATTTCATTCACTGATGGTGTATACTTAGTTTTATATGTTGTTGGACTTGATTTGCTAATATTTTATTGAAGACTTTTGTGTTTATATTTATGAAAGATATCAGTTTGCAGTTTCTTGTAATGTCTTTGAGGATGATATTAGAGTAATCCTGGCCTCATAAAATGATTTGGGGTTTGAGGGTGTAGCTCAGTGGTACAGCACATGCTTCGCATGCATGAATAATTTTCATTTAATTCAAAACATGTTTACATTTCTCTTGAGATCCCTTCTTTGACCTATGTGCTAAAGTGTGTTACTCAATCTCCTAGTATTTTAGAAGTTTCCAGTTATCCTTCTGTAATGGATTTCTAACTGAATTCCATTGTGGTCTGAGATAATCCATTGTATGATTTCTAGTCTTTTAAAAATTTGTTGAGGTGTATTTTACGGCCCTTTGTCATCTATCTGGTGAATGTTCTTCTTAAGCTTGAGAAGAATGTGTCCTTTGCTGCCATTGGATGAAGTAGTCTCTAAATTTCAATCATACACCATTGATTGACGGTGCTACTGAGGTTAACTATGTCTTCGCTGATTTTCTGCCAGCTGGGATCGATCCATTTCTGATAAGCAGTGTTAAAGTCTTCAGCTGTAATAGTGGAGACTATTATGGGATTCAACTGTTTTTGAAGTTCTTGGTGAAGTTCTCACTGAGGATAGAACCCGGCCTCTCACCTGCTAGGCCAGCGCCCCACCACTAAGCTACTCCCCCAGCCCTTTGTTTTGTTTGGAGAGAAGTCCTCACTGAGTTGTCCAGGCTGGCCTTGAATTTGCAATCCGCTGGCCTCAGCTTCCGGGGTCGCTGAGATGACGGACCTGTGCCACCACACCCTGGGTTTCTTTTCTTTTTTTTTTTTAATGTATTGTTCTTAGACATATATGACAGTGGGATGTATTTTGACATATTATACATACACAGACTATAACATTCTAATAGCACCCCATTCTTGTGGTTGAACAGGATGTGGCGTCACACTGGTCCTGTATTCATATGTGGACACAGGAAAGCCCTGTCCGGTTCATTCTGCGGTCTTTCCTACCCCATTCTCCGCCCCCTTCATTCTCCTTTGTTTAATACGATGAACTTCTATTCTCCCCACCCCCTTATTGTGTGTTAGCACCCACGTATCAGAGAGAACATCCAGCCTTTGGTTTTGGGGGACTGGCTTATTTCACTTAGCATGACAGTGTCCAGTTCCATCCATTTACCAGCAAATGCCATAACTTCATTCTTCTTTACGCCAGCCCAGTTTTTTAAAAACCCTTTTTCAGTTCATGCTTCAGTTTGAATTGTTCCGTTGACCTGTCTTCAAATTGATCATGTCTTCTGTTGTGTACAGTCTTCTGTTAATCCCATCTAGTGAATTTTTATTTCCAGAATTTCCATTTGAATTTTTTTTTTGTAATTTACACATCTATCCCAAAATTCTCCATTGCGTAAGCTATTATCATATTGATTCCGATAAATTCTTTACCCTATCTGTCATAGGTATTTTAAAACCCTTGTCTGCTAATTATACAACACGTTGGTGGCTGTGATTTGTTTCTTTGGTGTGCATGTGTGGCACTGGGAATTGACCCAGGGCCTGACGTACGCTAGGCAAATGCTGTACCACTCAGCCAAGCCCCAGGCCTTTTTGTGTTATTTTTGAGACGGGTTCTTGCTGAGTTGCTCAGGCTGCCTTTGAACTTGGGATCCTCCAGCTTCAGCCTCCCAACTGGCAGGGACTATAGGTGTGGGCCACCGTGCCCAGCTGGGTCTGTTTCTGTGGACTGTTTTTTCTCTTGAATCTGGGTGACATTTTCCTGTTTTTCACACCTTGTAACTTTTTTATTGCACACTAGACAATGAAGATAATGTATTGAGGGCACTCTGGGTTCTATGATCATATGCCAAACAGTGTTTTGTTTTAGCACAATTAAATTACTAATGGATCATCTTGCTCCTTGGGAGACCTAGTTTTAGGCTTTATCGAAGAAAGCCCATTTTGGTTTTGTCCTTGGTCCTAGCGGGGGGGGGGGGAAACCCAGTCTTAGGAATATAGTCTTTATTCCTGAAGCATGGCCTCTCTGGACTTTCATTAGAAAGCCTTAGGCATTCGGAACTCTGTCTCCTGTGTGGTGGGGAATTGTTGAAATCCACGCTGAGTTCCACTAACCTGCTGACTCTCTCCTGGGCTCCTTGGAATTCCGCCCTGTGGATCGTCAAAGGGCTAGAGGACAGCATTTATGCAGGTTTTGGTCCCTTTCTTGGGGCTCCCTGATCTCCAGGGTTTCTCCGCAGTTCCCTCCTTCTCTGGTGGCTTCAACTTGGACCTCTAACTCCTCGGGGAAATTAAACCACAGATTGCTGCTTGAACTCTATTTGCCAGGCCATTTTTTTCTTTTGTTTTCTTTCTTGTGGTATTGAACCCAGGGGTGTTTTACCACTGAGCAACATCCCTGGTCTTTTTTTTTTTTTTTTTTTGTACCAGGGATTGGACCTAGGGGTGCTTAACCACTGAGACACATCCCCAGCCCTTTTTTATTTCTTATTTTGAGACAGGATCTCACTAAGTTGCTTAGGGCCTAAATTGCTGAGGCTGCCTTTGAACTTGAGGTCCTCCTGCCTCAGTCTCCTGATTGGGATGACAGCCATGCACCATTACGCCCAGCCCCTCATCCTTTTTATTTTTATTTTGAGACAGGGTTTTGTTAAGTGGTTCAGGCTGGCCTCACTTGGAATCCTCCTGCCTCAGAATCCCAAGTTCCTGGGATTAGAGGCACGTCGTACCACCTCTGTATTTGACTTTATCTAATGGTCGTCCAACATAAGCTACTCCCTAGGGGGTTCTTTGTTTTTTGCGGTGCTGGGGGTTAAACCTGGGGCGTCACACATTCTAGGCAGGCGCTCTACCTCTGAGCTACCCCCTCGCCCATCTGTCTGTTTCTCTAAGTCTTTCTCCCCCTGCCTCCCCTCCATCCATCTCTTCTCCCTCTCTCCCTCCCTACTCTTTCTCCTCCCCTCCTTTACTTCTGTCTCTGTCTCTCCTTGCAGGGAGAACCTGGCCCCAAAGGAGATCCTGGTGAGAAGAGCCACTGGGTAAGCTTTGGTCCGGCCTCGACGCCCTGCCTTCTCCTGCCCCGGGTGCTCATGGGAGAATTCTCTCATCACTAGGCCCTGGGAGTGGGGGCGCCCCGTCCAGATCCCCACTACAGCCCGATCTCCCGGGCAGGAGCTTGGGCACATCTCAGCCCAGCCCTCTCCCCGATCCTGTCACTCCCAGCTGAGCAGCACTAGCCCTGTCAGCAGACCCATGTCCTGTGTCTCTGTCTTTGTCCCTGCCTCACCTTCCCTCTGTGACCTTTCAAGGCCAGGGTTCTGCTGGGTTGGGTTGACTCAGGCCAGACTGCATCCCCTGCCACCAGGGTCCCCTCCCGGTAAGGACTTCGGCTTCTTCCCCCCTCTCTGTGGAAGGAAGGGAAGCCTGAGGACGGTATCCACGAGGAAGAACAGAACAGGGGACAGAGGGACAGGACAGGAAAGTCACGAAGCAGGACTGGGGACGTAGCTCCGTGGTTGAGCACTTGCCTGGCATGAGTGAGGCCCTTGGGTTGGATCCCTAAACCTACAAAAAGGAAAAGGAGAAAGGGTCGGGGGAGCGCCATGATGGGTGGGAAGGAAGGCCCTGGACACTGGGAGGGGCTGGGAGGCCCTGGGTGAGAGGGACAGGACACCTAGACAAGCCCTCTACCTGGGAAGACCAGGAAGCCTGGGAAGGGAGGGAGGCCTCGAGACCATGTGTACACACTCGACATGACTCAACCCCACTGTGTCCAAAAGATGATAAGTAACAGGGGATCCTAGATATCATCACATGTGTAGGAGGCCCAAGAGGAATGGTCTCATGCACAGGAGAACCCTGAAAAGTGAGATGAGAGGACCTGGGGGCCATTCGGTACGCAGACAAACTGGAAGGTTAGGAAGGGAGGCCGGGACGCTGTCGCGTACAGCGGGGTGCAGTGGCACACCCTGTCGTCACAGCAACTCCGGAGGCCAAGGCTGGAGGATCATGACTTTGAGGCCAGCCTCGGCCACCTAGCAAGACCCTGTCTCCAAATAAAATGGATAATCCCATCAATATATGCAGAGAGAAAAAATAAAATAAATAGGGATGGGGAGACAGCTCAGCGGTAGACCGTGGGAAAAGAAGGAAGGAAGGAAAGAGTCAGACACCCAGACGACAGAGTGCCTAAGGGAACCTAGAAACAGCACCCTCAGAAACTGCACAGTTAATGTAGGGTCCCGGGACCTCTGTAATCAGGGATAACTGCAACAAGGGAATTTCAGGCTTAGAAATCTACTCCCCAAGAGGCCTGTGAGGGAAGGATCAGGAGCCTAGAACATACCATGCCTGAAGCCCCACAGTGCGGGGACCTGGAGGCCATCGCCGACATAGAAAGTGGGTCAGGTGGGGCAGACACCTCTACCGGACAGACCGTGGGGGCTCCTTTGGAGGATGGGGTTGCACCTCCCTCCCCATGCAGTCTGGCCGGGACAGCCTACTTTCTCCCGGACACAAATGAGGACATGGGCAGCTGCAGTGTCTGCCCTGCCTCTCGGTTCCTGGTTGTGGGGTCAGGGATGGATACAGCCGTGGGACCCCCGACCCTGCACGAGCCTCCTCCGTGTTTCCCCGCGACTCCCGGAGCCTGCTACCTCTCCCAGTTGCTTGCTGGCCTCCCCAGCCGCCCTCCTACCCTCCCTCCAGGACGCTTTAGTTTCAGTGTGGTAATAAGCTGAGCTGGGGGTCAGGACAGGTCCGTGTGAGCCCCGTCCTCTGCCTCCCCAGGGCCCTCACTCCCCCAGAGACCCTCATTCTGGAAACACGACCCAGGGGAGGTGGCACAAGCCAGGTGGGGGCAGAGGGAAACTGCTCGGTCACTGCAGGGAGAGCCCTGGCAGGGGGTCAGGCTGCCTGGCCTACCCCAGGGCAGGACCACATGTGGGACCCAAGAGGTAGCAGGTCCCTGTTCGTCCACCTTCCTCCCCTTGTCCATCTGCTCTTCTGCCCCTGCTTACTGCCTGCCTGGAGGGGCTCGCTGGGCTGGGGGTTGCATGAGGCTTTGGGAACTGGATGGAGGGGGCAGCTCTGTTGGAAATAGGTGAGAACAGGTGCTGGGTACACTCCACCTCCCAATGTCCCCTTGGCACATCTTTCAGACGTTGACCTGGCACAGCTGTAGCTCTGCAGTGACACCCAGTGACCACAGGAGTACACTGCAGAGCCTGAGCCCTTCCCGCTAGATATCCACCTTCACCCTTCATTCAGACAGAAACAGGCCCAGCTCTGCAGAGAAAAGCCCCCGCACAGCCAAAACTGGAGCCCAGGCTTTAGGCTCCCACGGGAGCGAGGAAACCAGCTACCATTCCCTTTGTCTGTGGTGCCAGGCCCAGGGCTGGGCACTCTGGACACAAATGCCATGTGAACACAGTCCCCGTTCCTGGGATGATTAGTGTGGAATGGGGAGAAAGACCCCATAATCACCATCCACAGGACAGAGGAAGCTCAACTGTGATGGAAGAGGCCGTAGTATCTTTTTTTTAAAATTTTTTTTTAAAGAGAGAAAATTTCAATATTTATTTTTTAGTTTTCGGCAGACACAACATCTTTGTGTGTATGTGGTGCTGAGGATCGAACCCGGGCCGCATGCATGCCAGGCGAGCGCGCTACCGCTTGAGCCACATCCCCAGCCCATATCTTCTACATGGAGATGGACTAGGCCTGAAATCTGCATAACCAGGAAAGGGTGTTTAGACAGAGGAGCAGGAACATGTGCAAAGGCCCTGAGGCAAGAGTGAGCCCTAGGTATTTGAAGAGCTGCAAATACTTGGAGTGACAAGGAGTGAGACAGAGGCCAAGGAGGCTTTCAGGTCTTAGGAGGCCCTTAAATGAAACTGAACTTTGTTTTATAGGTATCCGGGGAGTCACTGAAGTACTTGGAGTGATATGGTCATATTTTTTTCTTTGCAAAATATCCTTCTGATGGCCATGTGGAGAACAGATGGGAGAAGGGACAACATGGGAGAAAGAGAAAGAAACTAGACAGGAGGCCAGCAGGGTCATCCTTGTGAGAGACTGCGGGGGCTGGAGCTGAGGGGGTGCAGCAGGACAGATGCCCGTGGAGCTAAGAGACTCTGGGTGCTGCTTTGGCTCTGAAGGGAAGTGAGGAATCAGACCTAAAAAGTAAGGGGGAGCAAGCACGCGGCTCTGCTCATAGAAAAGCGGGAGTTATCTGTGGGACAGCCCAGTGGAGGTGTCCAGCCGGCCCCAGACACAAAGCACAAGTGTGGCCAGGCTAGGAGGGGATCTGGGTGTCACCAGTGAAAACAGCAAGGCACCTGTTTCGGGTGGGCTGCAAACAGTGTTTTTTTTTTTTTTTTTAACTTTCCCCTAGATTTTCATTTTGAAAATTTTCAGCAGAGTGTGGTGGCACCCACCTGTCATCCCAGCCACTTGGGAGGCTGAGGCAAGAAGACATTCCAGAATATGGATGAGTGTTCTTTTCTGAGGAAGGGGCTCTGGGCTGCCAGCATTTTAAGCACAGGTTCCCTGAAGGCAATGTCACTCAAACATGTTATTCTTTCTTTCTTTCTCTCTTTCTCTCTC